CAATACCATTGGTGTGTATAGGGACTCATTGATGAGCTCGGAGCTGAGCTCATCGGTGAGCCAACCAGCTCATTGGCAAGTCGCTATTCGAACTCAGTTTCATGATCCGTTTTGGATTCAATATGAACCGTATTTTATCAGAGATTATTGACCTAATTCAAAGAGGGGTAAAAAAAAGAAGAGGAAGAGAACGAAAGAGCTAGAGTTTCATCTTTGGAGGAAAGTTCTTGGTCGGGCATCTCAATTGCATCCTCGGCATTACTCTTCATCATCTCTGATCATCAAACCTCGAGGAGTGCTGCCCTGAGGATTGCAATCAACATCATTTTTCCAAAGCTTCACTTATATCATCAAGGAGAACAGTTTTCTATGATGAAAGGGTGGTGAGATATTTCTTTCTTGTGCTTAACCATATCGGATTTGCTTTAAGCTCTTTTTACTACAACCTTGTGATTGGTGGAGTGATTGTATCGCCACGTGTCATCCTATTTCTAACATCTCGATCTCATCTTCTGATATTTCTAAGCAAGTGTTCTTCCTTAATATTGATGCGGCGCCTACGTGGCATTCTTATTTCTTAAATCCTTTTTTTGCCCGGTGACGTTTAAAAGTTTTGCGGATGTAGCTGAAACTTGCGGCAATATATGAACAGATTTAGTTTTTAATTATGTGTATATTTTCTATTTCTAAATAAAACTCTCAAAGATATTCTTCACATCTCATAACAATATTTTAACTATCCAAACAAAAAAGCGAACAAAAAGGAAGGAATATTATTTCCACCATTTTCAGAGCTTTATTAAACAAACAAAAGAAGTGTTATTTTTGTTTCTTCTGACTTTATATTATGGAAGTTGTCCTTTTGATCTACTCGTTGTTGGATATTTTTAAAGAAAAGGCAATTTTGCCTTAATAAATTCTAATAAATTTTGTAATTAAAATATGCAATTAAAATATGTTTTAATGTGTTTTAATTTGTAATTAAAATGGGCATAATGACTATACATTATGACGAACGTTACGAAATTTATTGAGGGATTTTGTAACGGCTCTTTTCAACCCCTATATAAACAACATATGTTGAGCTCAAGAAATATGAAGAAAAATGTGGAAAAACTTATCTTGTTTTCTTTTCTCCTCTACATATCATTTTCATCTATACTTTAGTTTTACTTTACGGGCAACTTCTTCATCTGAGCTGAAGCTCTGCACTCTCGCTCGAGTGCAGAGGCCGGGCCGTTTCCGGGGGTTTTTACCGCTAGGGGAGAAGGGATCATCTGCGCCAGGGCGATAGGCGGGTCCTCAATCTTCTAGGGCAGTGAATACACGACTGCTCCCGATCAGGCCAGTTTTAATTATTTAATTTCCGGGTTTAAATTCATACTATAATCTTTATTTATTTGATAAATTCCCAACAATCTAGAAGATTGATTATATAATTGTTGATTTATTAAATCCGAAATAAGTTTATCTATAATTAATTGCTTTTAATTATTGCTGAATAATTTCTGTTAATTCGGGAAAAATAGTTAAAAGTTACTGTTCATCAACATTACTGTTCATCGAAGAATAATAATAATCTGTTTTGATATTGTTCATCTAATATGATTAATTGTAGCTACTTTCATTTGGTTATCTATTAAATAGCTATTAGAAAATAAAAGGTACTGTTCACCAGAACCTTATTTTACTATTCACTTGGGAAAAATACAATTTAAAAAAATAATAATATTGTGCATCCACGAGATTTGCTGTTACCATTCTTTATGGTTCATCGTACATGTATATTAAACATTACTGTTTATTAAAATTGTTACTGTTCATCCAAAATAACCTTAAACATGTAATTAATTGCTTTAATTACTGTTAATTACTGCATTTATTGTATTTTTTTAATTGTTGATAATTATTGCTTAAATAATTACAATTAATTGCAACTTGTAATTGATTTTATAATTAATTGATAACAGATCGCCAATTTAAGTACAAAATGAGGTTACCTCCACTATATGTTGTTAAGGAGGAATTATTTCTCTGTTCAAAATTTTTTTTTAAAGAAAATATGCTCTGTATTTGAACGTTGATAAATAATTTGAGCTTTTAATACTTATTTATGTTTGAAAGTCTCATATGCATGGTTTTGACAAGAATAAAGAAAACAAAATAGATGCTTTGAAATATCTGGATTTGTTCATGGTTTAATGCTTTCATTTCTTTAAACTATGAATATGGTACCTTCTATTATTAATAATTCCATACTTTGAAGTGCTTATACATCTAATAAGCTTAGTACAGAATGTGGCAGTTGTCTGCAGCAGATGGGTTTTTACTCTCAAGACATGAAAATCATGAGGTTCGAACATCAATAGGTAAACCCCTCCTCGGCCTTATCCAACATATGCTTGCAGTATAATTGCTTAGGAAAATCAAATGCTTGCAGAAAATATTTTAAAGTTTTCTGTTACTGTTAAGAAACAAAAACTCATTGAGTGAACCGATTCAAGTTTTCTTGGATTAGTTGGTGTCTAAGGCAAGGTTTAAGGGTTGCGTAACGCGCTCTGCAAGGAACGAGGTACTTAATTGATCTTTGATCAACCTCTATTACTATCCTTACCTGGCTAACTACCCGGGTAAAACTTTAATCTTTTCACTTTAGGAGTTTTTGGTTTGGAATAAGAGGACCGGAATTATGGAAAAAAAAAATTCATATGCATTTATTTAATTACGTTTCTTGCATCATATATTGCCTAATGATAAATGATCAATATATGAGCGAACCAAATCAAAGAGGTGCATTTTTTATCTCCTTTGTAGGCAACCAATTTGTAACCTCTTATAATAGAAGAATTTTAAAAATTTTATGCATTTGAATTATGAAGTATGAAATATATTTTAAGATACGAAAATATATTTTAAGATACGAAATCCTATTATGCTCTGCATGTATCTATTATTAATTTCATTCATGTATGTGCATATGCATAACTGCAGAATTTTTAGTTCCACATTAGTTTGAAATGTTCAGATATTAAGGTCAATCTCTTCAGACATAGACTATGATCTTTTATGATCATAGATCATGACCTAATGTCAATTTCAAACAATATGATGGACTAATTACAAAATAAGAACTTGATAAATAAATACAACGCCTGCTAGGCAAAGTTATGATTCTAGACTTTGTAAAGTCTGTGAAAAGAATCTTGATGACCCTTTGACTAAGGGATTATCCAGGAGTGTGGTTCTGGATTCATCGAGGGAGATGGGGTTAAGCCCATAGATGAGGTCACTGACAGCGGCAACCCAACCCTTATTTGGAGACGTAGTCCCAATGTCGGTTCAATGTGGTAGAAACAAGCTGGACTAGTGACACTCGTGTGGAGCATCGACCTAGATATATTTATATATCATTATGTAGCATTTGCTACTACCCCTTCTCTATGATGACGATGCTCTTATGATACAGCTGGCTAGGCTGAGTTTTACTCTTAATAAGTCCAACGCGTGTATTGTGGGGGGTATTAAATAAACAGCTGTAGTACCCTTTGAGGACTTACCTACGTGAGAGGAACCGTGATGGCCGCGGTTAGGGGGGGCTGGGCTAACCCCTAGAAACTCTCATGAGTCGGTTTATTGTGAGCATGGCCTTTAACGCTCAACCCGCTTTGCTCAATAGATGAAGCGTATTGTGTGTGTTTTTATCAATACCTGATTAAAGGGGCCTAATTCAAGGCCTAGTCCATTATGTCCCTCAGGTGGCGATGAACTCACTAAGGAAAGGTTCAAAGCCGAAAGCTACCTCTCCCGAATTCACGATACGAAAGGTTGCCCAACCTATATTTGATTTATGATTTCTTGATTTATTTATTGATTTCTGAGTCTTCAGTCAATATTGCCTTTTGGGGGGGACTGTTGGATATTTTTAAAGAAAAGACAATTTTGCCTTAATAAATTCTAATAAATTTTGTAATTAAAATATGCAATTAAAATATGTTTTAATGTGTTTTAATTTGTAATTAAAATGGGCATAATGACTATACATTATGACGAACGTTACGAAATTTATTGAGGGATTTTGTAACGGCTCTTTTCAACCCCTATATAAACAACATATGTTGAGCTCAAGAAATATGAAGAAAAATGTGGAAAAACTTATCTTGTTTTCTTTTCTCCTCTACATATCATTTTCATCTATACTTTAGTTTTACTTTATGGGCAACTTCTTCATCTGAGCTGAAGCTCTGCACTCTCGCTCGAGTGCAGAGGCTGGGCCGTTTCCGGGGGTTTTTACCGCTAGGGGAGAAGGGATCATCTGCGCCAGGGCGATAGGCGTCCTCAATCTTCTAGGGCAGTGAATACACGACTGCTCCCGATCAGGCCAGTTTTAATTATTTAATTTCCGGGTTTAAATTCATGCTATAATCTTTATTTATTTGATAAATTCCCAACACTTGTTACTCCTCATACTTCTGTCAGTCAAACAAGTCTTAGGTCAAAACGCTAAATTAGAAGTATGCTAAGTGATTTGATTAAAAAAAAATTGTTGATCAAATCGAAATTTTGTATAATAAGCATGTCCAAGCAGTAGACTTGAAAAACCTTTCATTTCACGAAGATATTCAAACAGGTGATTTTGTGATTTACAAAATCTATATACTTAGACCTTAGATTTAAAATCCATTGATTGTGAATCTTACATGATAAAAGTTTATGTCTATGTATAGAGTAAAGATTATATCAAAAAACACTCCGTAGAATATAGTGATTTATACCCTGTACAGGATGTTAAAAAGGCTAGTTTGTAAGTTGTAATTATGCTATAAGCATGGACTTTTAATAACAAACAAGCGGTAATTTTGACTTTGTTGGTTAAGCGTAGGACCCCTCACGAATTATTAGCGAACTACAAGGGCTGATGTGAGAAAAGCGAACCCCTGTTAGCAATTCAGTAATTCGTGGGGCCAAACACGTAAAAAGCCCCAACTCAGAGAATCGATCGCAAAACGAGAAACGCGTCTGAGATCTCTTCCCTCTTTTCTTTCCCCCAAACCCTAGAAAGCCCAACGAGAAAACCAAGGGGTAAAAAAAAAAAAATTCTCGATTCGATCGGCGATGGGATTCTGGGTGACGACTCTCATCTTCACGCTCGCCGGCGTCGTCGCCTGCCTCTCCGCCCTCCTCTGCTGCAACCGCGGCTCTTCGACAAATCTGTAAGTTTTTTTTTATTGTTCTTGGGACTTTTTTTTTAACGTCGTCGTCGATTTCGATGGAATTGAGCTAAAGTTTGAATGTTGAAATTGTGGACCTAGATCTGCTGTGACGATAAAAATTACGTTACTGAGTAATTTGGGTTTCCGGTGTAGATCATTACTGGGATTCGAAAAGATGGAATTGAGCTAAAGTTTGAATCTTGAAATTATGTTTGAATCAGTACCCTACTTGAGAGTTAAAGTTTTATAGTTGGTAATGACAGCTCTTGGAGGACATAATTTGCTACAAGCTCGAAAGAGCTCGACTTAATCAGGCTTCAAACCCAAATTGTTAAATTTTCTATACATCATTTGGGGATGATAGGATATGTATAGGATCTGAGAAGATTTGGGGATCAAGTTTCCCCCCCTTGTTCTTCCAGTGAGATTCAGAGGAGTCACATCCAGCAGTGAATCTTTTCCTTTGACTGTACTTTCTTAAGTTTATCAGTATTTAAATGCACTTCTCGGAGAAAGAGTTCATGCAAAATTGTGTAACTCTTTTTTTTAAATATCAAAAGCTGTTAATATCAAATAATGCTTCAACGTTCGCTTTTGGTGTCAAGTGGAATTGGGAGAAGATGGAGTCCTTAACTCCATTTTCAATTATACTGGCCTTATTATGACCTAATCCTAATTGCATCCACATTAACATGAAAGTTGGCCCCATTACACTTCAACAAAGACCAATCTCTCTCCAAACACATGCGTGGACACAAAAATATAAGGCCAAAAAAAGAAAGAGAGGAAAACCCCCAAAAATCTAAGGGGGGGGAAATCTCCTGCATGCAAAATTTTGCAACCTGGAGCAAACCCGTACATCGAATCTTTATTATACCTCTCAACTTTAATAATGTTAAGATATGCGAAAAAATTTCTATGAACATCAGTTGATTTATGACTTTAAAATGTCCTTGAATATGTATCCTCTTTGGTTCCCACAGCAAAGTGCATCGAATCAGCTAGTAGATTAAACCATTGTTAAACAACTCATGTGCAATGATAGAGTAAGGCACCCCTTTTGACGACTGTTGAATTGAATGAGATTCTGAATCAAACACTAATGTATGCTATTCTGTTCACTTGGATTGTCAGTGTGTATTCAGTCCAAAAGCTTTTATCTACAAATTCATTTGTTCTATTTCACTTAGTATTTCTGAATATTGTTTTTTTCCCCACTGAAATGATGGTTTTCATTGCAGGTTCCATATGACATTGTTAATCACCGCGACAGTTTGTTGCTGGATGATGTAAGCTTCTAACTTGCATTTTGTTGTTTTCTGTGACTAGTATCCAGGTTTAGTGCTGTTAGTTCCTTTTCTAATTAAAATACAAAGCAAAGCATTCTGTGAACATGCATCACTTGTACTGTATTGCTTGTATGGCGAGCATGTTTATTGGCCTTCGCATGTAGAACAATGCCGATTTTTTTTTTATAGATTAACTGTCTTTCACTTTAATTGTTATACACTCAAAAAGGTCATCAAGACATCAACAACAGAGAGAATTCGTCTTTACCTATAAAAATATCTGTGAATCCATCGAAGTTGAAAAGATAAACCTTATACCATTTAAAGAATACACTAGAGTTTGATTAAATATGTTTGCTACACAAGCGTAAAACTGCTACTATTTTCCCTTTTGCTTATAGAAGTAAGCCACAAAATTCACGATGTTTCTTTAATTTTGAAATCCCATTTACAACTTCACACTACTTAGTACTTTTGCTACATTCAACTCAGAATGGGCTCAGGATACATGTTTTTATTGGATAATACAGAACATACATTTGTAACTTTTTGGAAAAACACTAAATGGTTTATTCTACCCAAACTTTAGTTTCAGTTTTAGACATAAATAACTGGACCGATATAATTTAGCTCAATATTATAAATTATGGATAGCTTCTTTCTTGCATATTTGTGTGATAGTTTAGTATCATGACTAAGCATAGTCTGTAAACTAGAAAAGAAGCTTTAGAATCATAATTGGGTGAAATAGAACTTCATTCAATTTGATATGTGATACTCAAGACTTTCAGCTGAACTTGAAACTTCACCAACCCAAGAGTCAAGAGTAACACTTTATTTATGTCTTAATCCAATCATGGAAGGAATTCAGATAGATTCACTTGCGACATAGTTCAAAATTCAAATCAATCTCGGGATGCATATGCAAAGAATTCAAATTTGTGGCGAAGTACCTAGTTCAAGGGAAAATATTATGTAGTGATGAAATCTTACATGATCTAGTATGCAATATACTCATACACAATCTTCATCAGGGGAGTAGCATGCAATGTACTCAACACAATCTTCTTCACAGGTTGTAAGGGAGTAGTTATAGTTATACATTTACATAGTTATATGTCTATTTTCACGATCAGGTCGATAAAATTTGAATCTCTTGACTCATATCTGGCTCATCCCTTATTTTCTGACGCGAACTTGAATTAGATCTGGGGTTATTAAACATTTTAATTTTCAGCTCGAAACCTGTCAAAACCTGATTTGATCCACAGTAATCTGATATCCTTGCATCACAAACCCAACTAGGATGTGCTTGTATTTTTATCTGAATGATTGGAAATCAAATATGGCACAGAGTTACTCCCAACAAAAATGAAGAGAGAGTTCAATACCATTCATTTGACAACATTTTACAAGTTTGCTTTATTATCTACTTTGGCTAGAATCATCCAGCTTTAGGTGACGAGCTGATGACTACTACTACTGTTCGAATTGCAAGTCCCATATAAACCATTTGATATCTTGATTAATATTTTTCTCCAGCTAAAATGAAGCATTTAATGTTACTCTTTGTCTGTCAGTGGAATTATTATGAATTTCACAATCTTGTAAATGTTTACACCTGTTCTAAAATATGGATTTTGCTGTTGGAAACATCTTACCTTTTTTCGGTGTCATTCTGTCAGGTGGGCAATCGTATATCTTGCACAGATGAATCCTTTAATTGTTCCAGTTCTCAGCGAAGAGTGAAATGGTCCTCGGCGACAGAAAAAAAAAATCATACGCGTATATCTTGTAATTTGAATCTCCCACTGTTATGCAGCAGGCAGAGTATGTCCCATGTTTCAGGTTGAATCGGTCATTTATTGCTATAAGAACCAGATAATTCTTTGTTCCTGTTCTGAACCGAGTGGAGAGTGCTGCCTCTTATATGTGATAACCCCATTATTTCTCTTGATTTTGGGGGACTTGGTAACTATATTTGCAGACGGTCGTATCTCGTATAACTAGAATGTGAATTCTTGAGCATGAATAAAATTCCTCGTTAAAGATGCTGCAGCAAAAAGATTTGACCGATGATTTTTCTGCGTATTTACTTCTGATTCATCCGTTGTTTGCTCATGGAAACATGTTTGTTGTCCAATTTATAAGCTGTCGTGCTATGTAATTGTTTGTTTGTCAAATTCCAGCGCAAACAAAGGTACCGGGAATATTTCATAATTATGCTGATGACGTGACTTTTCACTCGGTATTAAAAGTAGCACGATTTGACGAATCGGCCCAAAAGTTAATTCCCGACCAAAAAAAGCTGAAGCCCCTCGCCCGAGCTCGCATCTGTTGCTTGGACTGCTACCTTCATGGTTTGTTCTTCGAGTTCTTATATTTGATTAATATTCAGGCTTTTTTAAAACATTGGTTATTAGAACTGCATGTTACCATCTTCAAAACATATAACTAGAACTCGAGCATGCTCATATTGCACTCGTGCCAAAATCATTACCATTCGTAAATAATGTGGAATTTTGTATAACGTTACAAATTTATGTACAACAACAACAACAGCAAAAAGAAAAAAAAGAAAATCCTCTCATACGCAAATTTTCTAAGCCTACGCATCAAAAGCAAGAGACCGGCTTCACGTTACTCGAAGTCCCCTTGACGTTCTTACAAGTGGCTCTTTCCTTCAACTGCGCATCGTCGCCAATATATCGCAAATAAATATCCCTGAGCTCCACCCCTTCACACGGGTATCTCCTGCTACACACCATTTTGATCACCTCGTCTGATGAAGATGTGCCCCTTATGTTCCTAAACTTGACCCCATTAATCTTAACCCTAGATGGCTCCTGCAAGAAATTATACAGAATCCCATCTTTAGGTGGGAAATTAGAGGAAGCAACATGTAGGAGAAGTAAATGTAGCAGAAGAGCTCTGCTACAGGGACCCAAAATATGGGACCAGCAGGGGAGACATGTGAGGTGTCCACCTCTTATTGCATAATGAGCTAGCCATCATTAATGATGACCAACTCATTATGCAATAGGAGGGAGACACATCACATGTCCTCCCTGATGGTCCCATATTTTAGATCTACGAAATAAGATAGTATAATAATTAAGTGCATCTGTAGAAAATGAGGGTGGTCGGTAAGTTCATAATTAATGAAGAAATAAGAACTAGAAAAAGCTCATTCAGTATGAATTTTTTCGCTTGCGATATGTTCGTACGTAGTTTTTTCCAACAAAAAAACATATTCATCTATAATGTACTTTCTGTTTGCATTGTTGCTAGGCATACAGCATAACAGATGAAATTTTCCGTAGGAATCTAATGAAAAACATTGTGCAGAAAAAATGCCACAATTATGGAATGTGTTTTTGTAAGGGACAGATGCTAAATGCATATGTGCAAAGAACTAAATGGAAGAATAGGATTCATAATAATAATAGTAATAAGTACCGATTCAGGACAAGCAGCATAGGGACAATACTCCTGATCAATAAATATCGGATTCGCCACATTCTTCATCGCCACGTTCTCAAACAAGAAATCCTCGACCTTCATCATCTCCCAAAACCTACTGCCCCTCTTCGTCTTCCACGACTTTATCCTTATCCCGTTGCTCGTCCCGGTCAACGTACAATTCTTAACGGTCAACCCTACCACATCGCCTTTATCGGCGTCTTTCCCAAGGCTACCAACACTGATACCATGGCCAGGACCGCACGTGACTCCGGATACCGTCACGTTTGCCGTACCCGACCCGAGTGAGATGCAGTCGTCACCTGTGGAGATGGCGGAGTCGGAGATGGCGATGTTGGAGGAGCCGCCCACGTGGATGCCGTCGGTGTTGGGGCTGTCGCCAGGGGCGGAGATGGTGAGCCACCGGAGGTCGAGGTTCCGGCAGCTGAAGAGGTTCACGTGGAAGAATTTGGGGTTGAGGGAGGAGATGCCCCTGATGCTCGAATTCGTCACAAAGCTCAATGACATTGTCTGTGGAGGGTAAAATTGGTAAGACGTTAGACCGTCATCAGTGGGAAGAAGAGAACGGCATCCGACATGTTAGTGAAGTCATGTGTCCGTCGAGCGCAATGATAGACAATAATGATCGTGTTGATAGACGCTAGTGATGTGTGCATCAAGATTTATGATATGTCAGATATCATTTCCTCCTTCATTTTCCTACAATGTCCTATATAGAGTCCTCTTCAGAACATTATACAGATAAGATGGAGAAAATAACATCTTGTGTATCGGTGTATTTGTGTGTCTATCGGTACATGTGCAGGGGTAATGATAGGCAATAATGACTACACTAATAGACATTAACGATATGTGCATTGAGATTCATGATGTATCAGGTGTTATCTTCTCCTATCTTTTTATGTGATATTCTATAGAGGATCCTCTGTAGGACGTTATATAGGCAAGAAGGGTCGAACGGAATTTTAAAAATGTGAAAATTGGTTTGAATTATTTGAAGTGAACATTGTCAAATGCAATTAACAGTGCTACGTTGAGGATGAAGAAGGCTTGAAAATGCAAATACTTTACATTTAAACTTTATC